GGGTCGACATTCAACTCGTGATTCGTGATTTGAGGACTAGTGCCCTTCATATCGTCCATGGACCACGCAAACGTTGTGACGTTCTCCCAGAGGAAACTGATCAGCCCGTCCTGCATGCTTGGCAACAGTTCCATGCCGATGCCGATGCAACGTTTCGGGTGAGCAGCATCGATGTTGACTTGGACGATGAGATCACTCTTCGGTTTTTCGTCGTGGTGAATTATCCGTCGATCGAAGTCGCTGCTACTGCCGATCACGAACATCGATGTTTTGTAGGCGCGTTTGTTGTCGATGTAACAATGTCGAGATACTGTCTGATCGCCACAGATGGTGATGACACGGTCCCTGATCGGCATTTTAATGCATTGGTGATAGGAAGATGGGACGGCCCGCATGGTATTCAGCCAGGATGTTCTAAGGATGGCATTATAGATTGCAGGTCGGTCGATAACTTTGAACTTGACCGTAATTGACTTCCCGCGTATGGTGACAGGCATCGTTATAGTTCCTATCGTGGAGATCGAATCTCCATCAAACCCAGTAAGAGGTGATGGTGCGACTTTGATGTCCCACTCGAGGATACTCATCTTGCGTAGAGTATCCATGAAGAGGAGGTCGACCGAACTTCCAGTATCGATCAGTACTTTGGAGACGTCGTCTTCTCCGAGCCGTAGTGAGATGACGAGTGGATCGTTATGAGGTCGGTCTATATTTTGTGCGTCTTGCTCTGTAAATATGATCAGTAGGTCATCTTTGTATAGCGGGGGGGCATCTTTCGGGGGGTTGACTGCTTTCCGCTCATGCCGTTTGATCGAATTGATCGAGTCAGTGCACGAGAGAAGCCCTCCAATGATCATGTTGATCCGCCGACGTGGTGAGCTCGGAGGTGTGTGATCGTCTTCACGGTCACGCATTGCTTCCTTGCCTTCGCATTTAGAAGATGGGCGATCAGCATCGGTTCTTCTATCTCGATCGGCATCGGCTCTTCTATCTCGATCGCCATCGGATCGCCTGTCTTGATCGTCGTCAGATTGCCGCGATAAGCTCCGAGGCTCCGATATGCTGCACTCACCAGCTTCCCATGCCTTTCTCAAGAGAGCCGGGAGGGTACAGCACTCATCGGTATGATGGTCGTGTGCCCTGTGGTACTTGCACCACGGCTTCTTGTTATCGGGGTCTCTGTCACTCGAACGGTTCCAAACGTTTCATGGCTTTTTTGGTCGCCCAACGGCGTTGATACTCTTACGATTCTTGTCATCCTTGTCGTAATGCTGACGAGGCTCTTTGTAGGCGTCCTGATTCGACGATCTGGACTATTTGTTACTTGAAGATTTCTCGTCGACCAGCTTGGCCTTGGCCTTGACCGCCCGATCTTCTTTGACTTTGATGTAGCCGGTTGCCTTGTGTAAAGTATCTTCGAGAGTTTTGGTTTTTCCTGTCTTCATTCGCTCACAATACGACGAATCATCCCTCAAATTCCTGATAAGAATGTTGAGGGATAGTTCATCCGACAGACTGCACCGGGAGACGATCGTTCGGAATCGATCGATGAAGTCTCGCAACGGCTCCATTTCACCCTGAACACACGCCCATAGATCGAGCGCCGTGGACTCCGTGTCGATGTAGATCGAATAATGTTTAAGGAACCGAGCTGTGAGCTCCTTGTAGCTATTAATAGAATTTTTGGACAGCTGCGAGAACCATGTGAGGGCACTTCCGGAGAGCGTCTCCACAAAGTAATGACAGAGACATGCTTCCCGCTCCTCGTCGGTGAAGCAAGCGCATCCCATGACTGCGTTGAATGCGATCAGATGTCGCTTCGGGTCTGTCGTGCCAGTGTAACTCGTAGGTAGCTTCATCCGACCTATATCCTTGAGAGGAGCATTGGTGATAGCCGACATGAACGAGGTCTGCTGCGTCTCCTGGAGGATCTTATCCAACTCTAGTGCTGAGGTCGTCGCCTTGTGGATCTTGCTGTGGATATCGTCAAGGCGTTGGTGGAGAAGATCAAGTTCTGAGGCCGTCGTCAGGTCGGCACCTGCGGTGTTGCGGGACGAGCGAGCATTCAAGCCTTCTACTTGTGCTCTCCGCAGGTCATCTGTCGGTGTTGTGCCGAACAGGTTATTGACCAGTCTGGTCGTATCTGTGTTGCGGATCGGAGTGCGAGGGGGAGTGATTAGATCGGCCTGCTCTTGGATATGAACTCTGGAGTTGAGAAGCCGATCTAAGTCTTCTCGGTAGGCAATCTGCTCGGCACAGAGGGATTCGAAGCGAGCATCCATCCCCTGCTGTAGCTGTGCTGCGACCGATCTGATGATGGTGGCCATGTCGATGGGAGGCGGTTGTGGCAGGTTGGTTGTGTTTGTTCTACCGGTCCGGCCAACCTGATCTGTCTTGTCTTCTTGCTGATCGGTCTCGTTGATCACGGGGAGTCCAGTGATTGGGTCGACGATCGGACCCTGGGCGTTTTTTGGTGGATCGGCAGCTCCCCCTGCAAGATCGGTGGATCCTCTTGTGAGGTCGGTGGTGTTGATCGGTGTTTCAACCATCTTTGAACTCCGTTCTAAGTCAAAGATTGTTCTCTTATTCTCCTCAGACGGCGCCAACTGTAAAAACTCAAGTTTGATCTACGAAAGAACTAGGGTTTGTGGGTTTAAAGAGAAGTCTTTTATTAGAAGAAGCCGGAGCTTGAATGAATACATGGAGGTTTAGGTCGTCGGAATAAGAACGCCGACCTAAACTTTTGTAGAAAGTAAATCGAAAGCTAGAACAATTAGATTGCTTAGTTTGCCCTAGGTCTCGATAGATTATTTTTGAATGATCTTGAGAAGTCGGGGACTTCCTATATTTATAGCTGACCAGGTCGGTCTTCAACGTGTTTAGAATAGGAAAGTCTTCTTGCCGACAAGAAAGAATTTTTTTTTTTCCCGGGTCGCTCGATAAATGGAAGATTTCCATTTATATCGCCGACCTGAAACTTACTAGATGGGCCGACCAGAATTCATATCGAACTTGTAGAGATCGTACGAATCTCATCTCTAACAGCTTAGAAATAGAATCCCTTGTTGGTCGAGTCTATGTATAGGCTACATTAGAAACTATTTTTGTTATGTACTCAAAATAATGAATACATGTTACAGAAACGCAAACGCTAATGTCCCATCTTTTAATCGGATGATCATGTTATTGTTGTGTGTTTCTGTCTTTGTGGTGCTACGGTATATTATGCAATTGTTCTCAGTTGAATATTCTGATTTCTTGTAAAGGTAATTAATTTCAAGATAATCAAGAAAATGAATCATTCAACACTTTGAAAAAGAAGATGATATTACATTATATGCTGTGACTACGTAATTTTTCACTCTCATCAAACAGTAGCAGCAACAAATTTTTCTACACGACATAGTCTTCGGACAGTAAGCACAACATCGCACCACTCGACCTTGCCGTAAATCTCACGTTTGCTGCGTCTTTCAAGCGCAATCACAGCACACCAAACCATAGTCTTCTTCTTATAAATAATACCACCCACAACCTCATCCCACAAAACAGCAATCTTCCCGCCATAATTCACCAATCTAGATCTACCACACCATGGTAATTTACGCAGTCCTTTTAAACCTTTCAAAACATTCCAGCATCTTTCCTCATAGTCGTACCATTCAAGCTCTCTTTCTAAGTGATTATAACAGTAGGTCACTTCATCTATCACGCAACAAGAATCCAGAATCTCAGCCGCAAACATCTCATATCCTCCAATTGCATCAAACATCTCATCTTCTAACGCATCCCATCTGTTTTCCTTGTGGTTGTAAACCACAAGTTTGTCCTCAGCCAGATAGAGATTCCCTTTGATGACTGCACTAAGAGTTTCGTGTGTCCCACGTATCTCTCCCAGTGGGCTTTGCGCATGCTCCCATGTTTGGGTTTTGGGATCGAAAACCTCCATCATGTTGGAGTAATCATCATCACAGTCGTAGGAGGCTTCCACTACGTATAGTTTCCCATCAAGAACATTCATCTCAGGTAACTTCCGGGCTATCTGCATGCTTGGCGCTTCGTGCCACGTGTGAGACCTACAGTCCATGAAGCATACCCTAGATGAGCTGGGCTTACCATTGATGCATCCTCCAATCATGTAGATGTTAGAACCAATTGTGGCAAAATTCCTCGAACGGTAGGTAGGAAGATTGGGACGGTAGGTATTAAGATTCGGAAATGGGATTGAGACCAAAACGTTATCGCTTGACTTCTTCTCTTTCTTCATAAATAGTCCAAATATAAAGCTTGGAGTGAACCATTTGGATTTAGGGTTAGGGTTAGGGTTATGGTCGGGGTTAAGGTGAGTTGGTCTGAAACTCAGAGTGAACCAACGTGATGGTTCTCCATAAGGGAACAGTAAGCACACATAGAGACAACTCTCGTTTCGGTTTAAAAGCGTTCGGGTCTTGTGAAGCTCAAGTGAAGCAATGAGAGAGCGGAATCTCTTGGAGACTAAGGAGAGTGTCGGGTAATACAATCTCGAGATGCGTGCAAAGCAATTAAACAGTAAATCATCATGGAGATATGGAAGATTAAGTGGTGAAGACGACGACGACGACGACTCATTACAGCTTGTGGCAGTTTGAAGGTTATGTAATGAAGACAACGACATGGTAGAGTTAAAAGAAGAAAACGCTCGAGAGGAAATCAAAACGCAACTTTATATATATGTTGGACAGAGTATTATTCCTATTTTAATTTGAAATTTGATGATAAAACTTTTTGCGGTAGGAGTTGGACAGAGTATTATTCCTATTCTAGTTTGAAGTTTGGGCTTAAATTCAAATTTGTATAAGAGCTCATTGTGGCCCAACTATCAAAATGACGTGGCTTATTCTGAATGGTTTTATTTCGTTTTAAAAATATATTTTATAATAATAATTAACATGAGCCACAATTTTTCGTAGTCTTTCCTCCGTCTCTGAGATAATCTTGGGAAAAATCAAACGAAGAAAGATATGCAAGCAATCGGCAGCCATGGCTGCCTCTGCTTCAAGCACTGCCACTCTCTCTCTGATTCCTTCTCCAAGCTCCTCTCTCCTTCTTCTTCTCCCTCGCTTCTCCCTCAGGTAAAATCCTCGTTTCCCGAGAAAATCGCTGCGAAATTCGGGGGAAATTTTACTAACCTCCTTCCTCGGATTTGTGAATGATGCACATAATTTCTACTTCCGTCTCTATTAGGTTAAATCTCTGTTAAGATGAGTCTCTGTATGTGTCCGGTGACCAAATCGGAGCTTATATGTTTCCGGTGATGAACCAAATCTCCGAATCTCTTGTATCTGAATGATTATCGCTTGCGTTTTTTAATATACAGAGATGCCATTCGTTCTGTGCTCCGAAGCTTGGAAGTGGTAGCGGTGAGAATGGTAGAGGAAGAGGTGTGACAGTGAGAGCCTCAGGAGGAGGAGAAGACGACTCTAACTTTGCTCCGCTTGCTCCTGTTGAGCTGGGATCTCCTGTGGGACAGCTCTTGGAGCAGATTCTTAGAACTCATCCTCATCTCTTACCCGTTACAGTCGATGAGCAGCTCGAGAAGATAGCCACCGAGAAGGAGAATCTCAAAGCCGAATTGTCTTCAACACAGGACGTTCTCTCTAAGTAAGTCTCTTTGCTTCAACAAGTACTTGGTTTTGAGTGATAATTCACATAAATCTTACTGAAAATTTGGCAAGAGCTCTCTCTTGCAGTTGCTTAAGTAGAGAACCTAGGCTTAGATCCTGTACTGGTCGAGTCTACGTGTAGTGTCGGCTACATTCGATTTCATTCATTAGTATGAGCTTCGTTTGTAATGGAATCTGGCAAGAACTCTCTACTAATGCTTAAGCAGAGAATCCCTTGTTGGTCTAGTCTTTGTATAGGCAACGTTAGCAATTTCAAGATCGTTTCTTTCTCATACAAGATGTCTCTGCGCGCTGGCATTTGCAGGAGGATATCTGAAGTTAGAGATAAGGAAAGACGGAAAACGTTGGCTGAGATCATTTACTGTTTAGTGGTACATAGGTTTGTGGAGAAAGGAATCTCTATGATCCCTCAGATTAAACCAACTTCAGACCCAGCAGGACGAGTGGACTTATGGCCGAACCAAGAAGAGAAGCTCGAAGTCATTCACTCTGCGGAGGCGTTCGAGATGATACAGAGCCACTTGTCTTCGGTTCTTGGAGACAGAACAGCAGTTGGTCCTTTAAGCTCAATAGTTCAGATAAGCAAAATCAAACTCGGGAAACTCTACGCTGCTTCTGTGATGTACGGCTATTTCCTCAGAAGGATAGACCAAAGATACCAACTCGAGAGAACCATGAACACGCTTCCGAAACGGCCGGAGAAAACCAGGGAACGATTCGAAGAACCTTCTCCTCCTTACCCGTTATGGGACCCGGATTCCTTGATCCGGATCCAGCCAGAGGAGTATGATCCTGATGGCTACGCGATAGAGAGAAGTGAAGACGAGTCGTCGTCTTATGGGTTGAGATCATACGTTACGTACTTGGACTCAGATACGCTTCAGAGATACGCAACGATACGGTCTAAAGAAGCGATGTCGCTGATCGAGAAACAGACGCAGGCGCTCTTTGGGAGACCGGACATAAGGATACTCGAGGACGGTAAGCTCGATACATCTAACGATGAGGTTCTGTCTCTGAGCTTCTCGGGGCTTGCGATGTTGGTTTTGGAAGCTGTGACTTTTGGGTCTTTCTTATGGGACTCAGAAAGCTACGTTGAATCCAAATACCATTTCCTCAAGGCTTAAGGTTTAGTCCTTTCATTGTATCTTTGTTTAATGTAAAGAAAGAAAGACATTTGTACTTTTTGAGTGTAGTGAATGTAAATGTTAATCTCTCATGGGAAATTGGTAGCAACTCAGATTTGTGATAGTAAGAAACTACACTTCGAAACTTTAGATTCTAATCAAGCTTTTAGCTCAAAGTTAAATCTTTTACTGAACCAAAATTAAAATATACTGTAGGTCTGATTATTGTTATCTTTTTAAATCTGTAATGTGTATATTGTTAAGTTAACATTCAAAAGGAGCATAACTCATATTAGTGTATTTTTCAAAAAAATCTTGACAATTTCAAATGTGAAATATAAACGGAATGATAATTTTACTGTTTCACATTATTTTTGTTACCTAAGAAGTTTATGCTTAAAGCCTATATATCTCATTTGGTCCTGGTCCTTCTGGACCACCATACTTTGATTATTGCACTTTTTCAAAGGTAAATCATTCATGTCTAGCTGAGAATATTTCACATTTCTATTTACATGTACATTTTTCTCATGATATTTGTACATTAAAATAGTATACATTTATATATATAATTATAGAAATTTAAACTAGCACATACAAATATTTTACATTTGAAAGAACTGTATTTTTTTATGTAGTGTTTACATAAAGGTGCAATTGGCAAACTACCCTAATCAACATTTGTAATTTGAAAAATACATTATTTTAATTTTTATAACTAAATTTATTGATATATAAATAACTATTTTGACCAGGTTTTAATAATACATATTTTTATAAATAAAAATTAAAATTAAAACTTAAATTTATTAGAAATATTTAATTAGATAAATCTTAGGATTTTCTCTAAATTTTATATTTATATAAATCTTTTAATTATATAAATTTTATTTCAGATAAAACTTAATGTTTAAAAATTGTCTATATAAATTTGAAACTAGTTTTAGTAGAATAATGTATAGATAAGTATAGAATATATAAAAATCTTAGGATTTACTTTTTCTTTTTTCACCATTACAAATATATTTTAGTAGAATATTCTATAAATTAGTTTGAAATTAAGATTTTAGAATTTATAAATAATCTAAAATCTAAATAAATATTATTTTGTTTAAAAATATTAGTTTATTTTGATTTGGTTAAATAATTTTTAAATTATAAGAATTCAAAATAAAATTAATTTAGTCAATTGAATTATAATTAATTCTAATTTTAAAAAAGAGGTAGTTTTCAAATTATAAACTAGTTTTGGTATATTTTCCCAAAATTTCTCTTATATAAATAACTAAAGTAATATTCGTGTTTTTGTTCTTTTTAATATTGAAGAATTTTTAACACAAATTCGGGTTTTAAATCCCATTTTTTATACGTTTAACGGTTTGGAAAATTATTTTTTTCTATGGATATTACTAATATTAGGATATCAACTTGAACACGGTACCACAAGCGCACAAAACTTGCATAATAATCAATCAAGAAAACATTATCATCACATCCATTTATGTATATATATCTTCCCATAAACAGGTTTGGAGATGATTACATGCATACCCCACCATATGAAGTTCTCCTAATCAATTGAACTATATCTTGTGTGTTGTAAGTTGTAACCACCTTATTATTCGTTAAAATATCAATTTCCAATAATTGTTAGAAGAACATCCTCAATTATTGTAATATATGGATTATGTTTGTGCTACATATGGATCAAGACCCTAGTGAGTTATTATGATAAGAATCTTTGAATGGATTATGTTCTTAGCTTCAATTTTAAGCATCCTGGTGATCATAAAAATAACAATAGGAATGAATAGGAAAAAAAATGAAAAGAACAAAATAATAGGAATTATTGTTCCTTCTCATTTTTTATAAGGAATATATTAACATTATAGTTTCCTAAAACATAAGGAATGAAAAGGAATGATGGGTACAATATATTCCTTTTAAATGGTGTAATTTTTAAGGAATGATAAGGAATTTAATATTCCTTTTCATTCCTATCACTAGTTACAGCCTAAAATTGTCGATTTATTACAACATGTAAACTGATATAGAGTAGATAATTATTATCTCTTCCATACATTAAAATTCTAACAATCCAAAATGACATACTCTTTCTCCTAAGTCCTAACCTTCACTGTTTTCTTCAGACTACAGAGAGCTACAGCCGGAAATTTTATTTATTCAATTATTAATTAGTTTTAATTTGAAATATAACAACAAGTTTAGTCTTGGAGTATAATTAATTGGCCCCCCATAAAACTCGATAATAATGATGACATCCACATGCAAATGCTATTGTATAAGGTCAACCCCTCTAGATGAAGATGATACAGCTGAATGTCTACCATATTCAATACCTCGAGACTTTCTCATTCTCCTCTAATTGGTTGATCATTGCTCTATCTGGACCTTTTTCTAGTTTCCCTATTTGACCCGTTTGTATATATATATATATATATATTAATATATCACCATATATTATAGTTATAGGTATGCATTGTTGTTAACTGGTTGTTCTTAGGCGGTCAATTTTTTGGGATTAGGTTTTTGAAAAATTATACAGTAGAGGTTTTGTAAATTTAGCATCTCTATTGTTTTTTAAATAACAAAATTTTGTATGTTATTCCAAAAATGTTCTTAATGAAAAATCGCACACCAGACGAATTTTGAACTGACTTTTAGTATTTTTTTGGTTCTGAGCTCTCGCTTTTCTATCTCATATATCCTCGTCGATGTAATTCTTGTCACCATGATCATATCCCTTTCTTTTTCATAGATCGCTCTTGCCATCCTTTGTTGTCAATAAAATTATCTATATCATCTTATACATTGTTTCTATATATTGTTAAGCAGTTCTTAACCTAATTTGGAAGGAATTTCGAACCAATTCATTTGAAGAATTCATGTGAATCATTTAAACGATTCATAAGATGATGAATCTGAGATGAACCAAGGTAAATTAACTAAGGTTTCACTTCTTTTGGACTGATCAATAACGAAAATCACACAATGCCTTTATGTCCGGTACTAGTAAGAAACAAGAAATGTGCATCATCAATTTATGATACAATATCTATAAGAATATTCCACTAGATAATGTCGAAAAAACCAAAAAAACATATGTAACGTTATTTTGATTTGCTGAATGTAGAAGCTAGCAGACAATTGAACACTGCGGGCCATTAGTGATTGTGTGTACAGATGGTAATGGAATCACTCTCTTATCTAAAAGAAAAGAGAAAAGGAAAAAAAGACAGAAAGATTGCTTCCTTAGTAATACAAATGAAAATTAAATTCAGCCTCCAAATTAAATTCCATGTATTACTAAGAATATATGCGCCTTTTGATATATATATTTTCACATTATGATCAGATACACTGTTCTTAGAAAAGTATTCAACTATACATTCTACACAAGCTAAAAAATATAGTTGGTAACACAGAACGACCTAATAATCCACCTGCTATATATATCCATTTTTTCTAAGCATAAATGGTAATACTACGAAAACGTGTTTCAAGTATAATGATTTTTTTGTTATATATATGGTTAAAGGAATAAACAATCAATCCCTTACAATTAGCATGGAATCCAGTTTTTTTTCTTCTTTTCTTATCATGATATGTTGTTCTACTAGAATAATTTACGGATTGTAGCATACATACGATCACCAGTGTATTAGCTTTTATGCAAGAAAAAAAACAATCATTATACAACATATTAGGAGATCTTAAGATATAAAATTCAACACATTTCATTATACTGTCTGATGATGTGTTTTTTATATTGTAAATTAATGGATAGAGATTGGTTTCTTATTCTCTCATATTTGTAGAAAACTTGTAAATAAATTTGTGATTTTGTATAAATTAAGTCTATCTATTGGCTATAAAATTGAAATGTAGGAAAAAAATGATACAAGTATATAGGATTGGCAACCAAACTACGCAGTTTGATATTTTGAAAATTTTGAGCTACAATATGTACCAAAATTTGAGAGCTTGAACATGGAATTATTGTCTTTAAATGCTAACTAGGTCAAAAATTCCAAATATCTCCGCTCAGTAATATCATATGTAATAAGAGAAGTGACTCTCAAGTGCTTAAGTACTGATAGGCGCGGGAGTAAGCGTGGCAAATAACGGCTTATGCCTTCTGTTTCCTAAACGGATCGTTTGGCCCGTTGTGATAGTTAAAGTCACAAAATGTTAAATTTTCTTTTATGAACCTTTTTTCTTTGACTTGGTTACCAAACTACTTTTTTCAGTTTAGTTGTGAGATTGACAACAACAACAACAAAAATCTAACTAATTAATTAGCGGATCATGATAATAGCTCATTAATTAGAATTAAAAACCCGTGATTAAAAAGTTTTGTCCTTCGCATAAGTTGATGGCCAGATGCATGCATAGAGGTTAGAGAGTTTGGTAAACCAAATCAACTAACTACACATTTAATTTACATACAGCCCTTGCTCACATATAAATCATATAATTCATAGTATATGCTAATTTATAATGTACAGTATAAACTTTTAGGCCAACTGAGAAAAGGTACAATATAAACTTTTAGTTGTACTAGTGTTTTGCCCACGCTACGCGTGGGTTATATAGTTATATTATAGTTTTATAAAAGGTTGTCAATTAATTTTGTGTTTAATATTGTGATAAATTATAGAGTAGTATATTTGCATATGATTCTTAGATATAATCGAACGAAGTAAGTATCAGAAGGATGTATATATATATGTGAAAAGATGATCGAAATTTTTGTATAATAATTTGAAAGTAGATTAATATACCTTTTGGATTAGTTAAACTTTTTTTTAAGAGTTAATGCATGTTTTTGCAAATATGAAGGGTAAAGTTTGACATTTTTGTATAATAATTTGATTTGTAATTTTGTTATATTTTTTGTTTATGTAAATAGTATCCACATGAACTATATATTATAGTAGAAATATATTGTCTAAATTTGGACATCTTATGTTATAATG